TATATATATATATATATATATATATATATTCAAGATATCACAACATTTTTTTTTATTTTGTCAAATCAACTTAAATAATTTATTTAGTTCAGATAACTTATTACTTTGAGTTTCTGATGATTAAATCAATCTCCTTCATTGTATTAACTTAGTTTTTCCAGTTCAATCAACTTAAATTTTTAAGGCAACCAGTTTACTTAATTTAAGTTAAACCAACAATATTTTTTTACAGTGTATTTAGGAAATATACGATTTCACATGCAGCCTAGTGTGAACATGCAGTAACTGTCCTGAGCCCTTACACACCTGCATGTTTTTACCTTTTTTTTTGAGTGTGGAATATGGGAGAGCTCCAGATGTTACCACGTGAACTATAAAAAGATTCCTCCCACAACAGTGTTAACACGCAAAATTAAACGCAACCATAGAAATGTTACGAACAGAATTTTCCCCAAACAAGTGGCATGTTAACTAACAACAGTGGAACCAATACTAGGATTGGTATATATTTTTTGTATAAATGTAGATTACTTAATTAGATTATGATCATTTCCATGAATTAGATATTCACTTTCATTGAAACCTATAGGTTGAGTGAAATCATAAAAAAAATTGATTTCACAATGTTTTTTATGACATATGTTCAATTAAAATATTGGCAATTAAACATGTAAATATTTTATTTATATTCTTGTATATAAGTCATAGAATTGTTTTTCCTTTAAATCAATAAAGATACATTTCTTTCACTGGTATTCTGATTTGTCCGTCACCGGTTATTCAAGTATTTGTCTAAATTATCAAATCAATTTAAACTAACATTTTAAATGAAAGTTGATGAACATTGCCACTTTTATAAATATATTAAAATGAATAAGTATAAACACGTTGTGCTAAAACAATTACATTTACAAATGTTTCTATTTTATTTCATATATATAAAAACAAATTTGTTCATATTATAAAAAAGTATGCATTTAAAACAAATTATAATACAATTCTTAAATTAGAACATTAGCCATCAGAACGCAGGACATTAGGCATTAGGCCTAAAATAGCCATTAGAACACCTGGAAGCATTTACAGTGTGCTTATTGAAAATGTAACGCAAGAGAAGAAACCGATTAGGGAATTTCACAACACGCTTAGATAAGTTTTAAAGCTCAAAACCCTTGTGCTACATTTTTATGTCAAGCTTCTTGTTAACCAGGGCAAATCTCGAGGTAAATGGAGACATGTCAAAGAATAGGTGATAAACATGTTTCATTTAGCCTAGCACATCATGTACAAAAAAATAAATAATAATAATAAAAAAAAAAAAACGTGCAACCAATCCTTTAAATGTTCAGCCCACTGAGACTGATATAGATCAGGACTATGAATATCAGCCAGAGAGCAGCTCCAGTCTGCAGCAGAGACTGCTGATTCATACTTGTGCTTTTAAGGGCAGCAGAGATGAACACCACATGGGCCAAAGAGCCCTTGGGAATAAACACCTCAGTGAACACTGATCATTCAAAACACTTGAAACTATCAGTCTCCGCCATTACAAGAAAACACTGTAATAAAGTGTCCCTCCAGTTCAAACAGCAAATACTTAATTTCTTTCGCAAGTTTTTAGAAGCATATTTCACATATGGAATTAAGTAAAATGTATTTAACCAAGTTAAGTAAGATTAACAAAGAAAATAAACAATTTTTAACTAAGTTTGAGTAATTTATACTTTTTGAAGTTTACTTTGCAATACTGTTTCAAGTACATTTTATTATAATAGAACACTGAATTAAACCATGCGTTTAAAGTGTATGCTTTACGCTACTTTAAATTACTTGGATGTTCTGACAACATACCTACATAACAATGTGGAACCCACTCAAACACAGCTCTCACAATTGGTACACAATAATGTTCACTTTCATTGGATCATTTGATTATGAATGAATTGTGTAGAAAATGTATAGCAAAATGTCACAATACAGCACATTACTAAATCTAACAAAAGCAATGATGAAACAGTGTAAATACAGTTGGGAAACTGAAATTAAACTACATTATTCACACCCCAGTGCATGATGGGAACACCAGCATCACAAAGTTGCCCATGTTTTATTTTTAGCAACTTAATAAGCTTAAATTGAGTACTAATATAGAATTTACTTAGTTCAGGCAAGAATTTAAAAACCAACTTATTCAGATAGACTTTACTTGTAGAACACTATCATTTTCAAAAACTTTACTTTCAAAGAAAAAGAGCATGAGAAGGAATGGGCTTTCAATACTTTATTTTTTCCCATTGATACACATTTTCCTTATTCTCAATTCCATCCAAAGGAAAATTATAGTGAGGTAAAAGTGCTTTGAAACAAAATGGCATAATGAATCTACATCATAAATCACCACGCCGACATCAGAGAGCCGACATAACTACTTCAAAATAATAGTGCGATTTCCATTTTTCACTTTTTTTAAACTCACAATCATTAGCATCTCTTTAGACAAACATGACAAAAAAAGTGCTGAAATCCACAACTCCACTTGCAACAGGGCTTCAAAAAGGTCTCAATCATCAGGCTGGCACTTTAGACAAGCATATCCAATCAATTAAGCTCCCCTGCACACACACAGTTACAGATGCAATCAGAGTGGTAACATATGCTCCAACTCCTTGTCAATGAATAAAGGGTAACACTGGGAATATGGAATTACAGCAGACAGAGGGACAAAGAAAATAAAAGAACACCTTATGAATTCAATTCACACAAAAGCATGTTTTCCCATTCAACACTCCCTTTCCAATGAAACATAGGCCTACTGTACACAGACTTTAAACAGAAATAAACCAAGCCTCATCACACCATGCCTTATCTATGAAGTACATCTGCACAAGATAAAAATAACTAAAACAAATGCTTTTTTTAGACTGTAATACACATGATCAATAAAGTACAGATTAAGGTGATATTTATGTTGGCCAACATCTATCAAACAAGTGCCCTTTATACAGCAAAAAGGAGGGGGAAACCAGTTCTGAAACAGAAGTACTAGTTCCTGGTGTGCTGACATTTTACTTAATCTCAGTTGTAAGACAAAGCATTTCAAACAGTTCATCTTTTACTTTGCTGAACATAAGTTGTTACCATCAAGACTGTAGCCCTTTATGTCCCTGAGACAACCAAAAAAAAAAAAAAAAAAAAAAAAAAAACCTTGTAGTGTGTTCACAGGGCTTTGGAGTATGAAAAGGCCTATAAAGTGCATTTAATGAAATGGGTATTTAACAATTTGGGCTTTGAGATTTTGAAAACGCTGTGCCGTGCACAGTACTTGCTTTGGTTAGGAGGATGACTAACCAAAGCAATGAGAACAACTGGAATGACCAGACAACTACTCAAAGGACGACTTGATACTCGATAACTGGCACTAAATGAAAAAAAAATAAATAAATAAATAAAAAACCTTTGAATTCTTAGTTGCCCATGTCATTCATCATCCTTAACCTGTATTTAATGGAACCAAATTGTTTTGAAACCAGAGGACTGAGCTACAAGGTTGTTACATGCATATTGCATAAAGTTATAAGCTAAACCCAAACGAGTGACCACAAAAAAAGGCACATACTGTATGTGCTGTGTTGCTGGTTCAAACAATGGCCCAAAGTCTGCATGTCAAAATAATTTTACGAAGGTGTACAGGCCAAAAAAAAAAAAAAAAGCAAAAAAACCCCAAAAAACATAAGAGTAAAATCCATTTCAGCTTAATACACTTTGGGGTGTGACCCACAGAAAGGGAGGCTATGTGACCCTTCTCGTTACGCTAGAAGTCTGTGACGGCTGATAAGAGAAGGAACGTGGCTCTCATGGTTATCTCGTGCATGTGCTTGTACAAGCTGAAGCACGTGAGCAGAGACGAAGAGGGAACCTGAGGGGCAGTGGACAGCTGTCAGCCATTACGTAACAGTAGCTAGTGGAGTACTAGAGTTATCTGAATGGATGACTGTCAAAAGAGGAACTACACGTGAGCATGATTGGTGGGGGGGGGTAATGGACAAGAATAGACAGTCACAATTTAATAATGTCTAACTTACATAGAGCATGGAATTGATTTTACCCAACTGATCGTTACAAAGTTCCTTGAAGCCATAACATCAAATTCACTGACAAAGGACAAAGACAGGAGACTGAAGCCTAATAAAGATCAAGAGCAGCAACCCCAGCAAAATCAATTAGATCCAAACCTGGAAAGAAATCCACACCAATGTGTTTTACATCCATTTGACTGAGCATTGGTATATACCCCGGTTACAGCAGTGAACCCTCCAACACCTCAACTACCAGAAAAGGCCTTGTGACATACTAGCATTCACATCTACAGTGTCATCTACAGTGACGCGAATCAGAAGCACAGGAAAGACATTCGCCCCACTAGAAATTCCATCCCACACGCTGTCCATTCAAGGCACATCCCGAGAGGTTCAGGAAGGGATAATTTTAGAGCACTGTGACACTATTTGGCTAGGCTGTTAGCTGGAGGTCTTGTTACACACAGCAACGCCAAGTCTGGTAATGGCTGCAAAAAGCTCAGGAGGACCCACCATCCAACAGTTGATCCTTGTATGGACAACCATGACCTCTCTGTCCCACTTAAACATGTACACGAAGTTGATGAGATATGAAGGGAAGATTAAACCACTAGATCCAAGGTTCCTTATTAATCTAGTTCATTAAAATTACTTTACTGCTCTCTCTGCTCTATGGGAAGAGCTGAAAGCAATTTCAATTTCTCACCCTGGATGTAACTAGTAAGACTGAACACGTTTACAAACTGCACAACTTCTCCAAAATGTACAGTAGAACACAAGTCATCTGTATGCATTCACACAGCAAACTGAAGCGCATTGCTATGAATACTTCAACATGATTCTGTTCACATTTCTATTCATGATAACAAAAAGAACTTTAGCTGCCCACTAATGTAAAAAAAAAAAAAAAATCAAAATCTCCTGATAACTTGAGACCTAAAATACCTATTTCACCTGTGCTCACATTTTTCATATATTTTTTTTTCTCTCAATTTTTTTATTTTTTTTTCTCTCTCAATTTCTAAGAACATTTTTAATTTTTTTGGCCTTTATTTTGTATCACAGGAAAAATATAATTGTGTCCCAATGTGCATTTCCTTCATTTTTAGAGGTAACAATATATTAAGGCACTGTGGGAATTGTTTCTTTTCAACATGGAAAAAAAAAAATCTCTCAGAGCAAGGACAGCGATGAGAGCAAACAAATCTGAAACTTTAGAATATTAAGGGGGAAGAAAAAAAAAAAAAGTTTAATTCATTCGCTAAAATATATCACTTTGAATCAAAAACATCTTGGCACCTCTGCGGAGAAGGAATTAAAAGAAAGGAAAAAAAAAAGAAAAGGAAAGGAAACACTTGTCATTTTAAAGTCCTTTATGCCTACAGAGGGAAACATCCCTTATGGCCAAAAATCCAGCTTTTCTAGCCAACTCATGGATTTTGTTGTTGAACAAGAATCATTTGTCTTAGTTACAAGGCAACCAAGTTGGAATGGACTGGTTACAAGAGGCCACATAGTAGTCGTTGAAGTTCAGGTCTCTGACGTACGGAGCCGGCTGGTAGTAACAGGTGACGTTGGACGCATCAGGTATAGCATTCTGCTCGGCGAGCACCCGAAACGCCGTCAGTGAGATGAGGTTGAGCGTCTGGCGCCTCTCGTGTCCCATGAGACACACTGTGCTCTCGTTCACAACCCGCCGCAGGATCATGAGGTAGTTGTACTTGTTCTTCTCCTCACCGACAAAGTGGCTTTGCAAATAAGCCTCCAGTTTGCGCTGTTGCTCACCAATGTCAGGAAAGTCAATGAAGAAACGGGAGCACATATAGCGCTCCAGGGCCTTAAACTCGTCTTCGTCCGTGGGCCTAAAATCCCTCACCAGGAGGTTGCAGTATTTGAGCAAACCACCTCCACGGATCTCCTCTGGCCGTTTGGTGGCAATCTTTTTGTTCCTGAGGTGGTCCAGAGCCATGGCGAAGTCACCGTACACGCTCTCCCCGACCACGGTAGGATGGAAGTGCCGAGACATGGCGTTTTCTGAAAAGTCATAGTACGACAGCACAGAGTCCAAAATGATCTGGAAGGAGTCCACGCTGAACTCGAACTGTCTCCGGATTGAATCCACAAACTTAAGTTCCACATTGCGGCCATTGTTATTGGACAGAGAGATGAGGGACCAGCGGTCCTGCTCAGTGTAGACTTTGACCAGCTTCTGGACGTAGGCCTCTTTCAGAGTCATAGGAGTGATCTTCTCTTTGTTCACCCCCTCAGGCAGAAAGTCTAACAAAGTGCTTAGAACCACATCTTTGATGAGCTGGAACTCCTCTTCCCGAGGAAGGTCTACCCTGAAGATGATGTCCAGGTCTTTTGTAGCTCCAGCCTATGTCTTACCAGTACATGGCTAGCAGTGGATCGTTCAGACGCACATCTTTGACTGTAATACCACTCAGCTCCAGACGGCTTCTCACCATCTGTATGATATCCTTTAGCCGGACCTCCAGGGTGGGAAAGTTGCCACGTCCGTGGACGGGCACAACCTCTGTCAGCACATCGTTCAAGCGGCTCACTTGCTCCCAGGAAAGCACACTTTGCGACTCACTTTCGCTGCTGGATGAGGCTGAGGCCATGTTTGCCATCTATGCGGTTTCCTACGACAAGTGGAAAAATAATTTCACTGATTTTCAATTTTCTAAAATCTCTTAAACCATCTAGATAGTTCACATTTCATTGGAATAATGAGCCTTAAGAGAAGTTACACATCTAACAGGATCACCACTCTATAACAGAAAAGCTAACAATGATTCTCAGGCTTTCCAGAAGCCCAAACAAATACAGAACTAAAGCATTTATAATGGGTGACACTCAGCTGCTCCTCAACTAATTCATCAGGATTCCAATTTAAAAAAAAAAAAAAAAAAATCCAAACAAATCCCAAAAGAGCAGTAATAATTCATGTAAACCAAAATGTAATGTAATGCAATTGATAAATTATGAATGACACTCTGACAAGGTTGAGCCAAACAACACAGAATGTGAATGGATTCCCATCATAATTTTAAAACGATCAGAACAATATAAAATATGCAAAATGGAACCAAATAAATACATAAATACAAAAGTGGGTAGCCTTAAAAAAAAAGTTTTTTTTTATATATATGGTCCCTACAAGATACAATGGTGTAACCATGTTTTGTCTTAATCTTTAGAACAATTTTTTAATTCTCATTGGTGTCTTGCAGGGAATTTTATTCTGTTTGGTAACCACAATTGCCTTGAAAACGAAATGTTTCTCCATTTTGTTGGAATAATAGAAGAAATTACACGCCTGATTCCTTTTGGATTGGTTCCAACTATGATGAAAATTACAATAAGATGTTTTGATCCATGGCACTCATCACGCGAACTCACGATAAATATAACGTTAGTTATGACTAAAGTTTATGTGCAACGTAAGCAAGTAAAACGTGCGTACTACAATGTTCGAAATGCAATGCATAACTTAAGCAACTTGAATCAAAACGAGATCTTTACTCATAAATGAAAACCAATCGTTTGATCCAAAGCGCACGTGAGATCGAAAAAGCCACAATCTGCTTGAGGACACCGTTCAAACCAACCAAACCAATATAACGTTAACTGCGGTATTAAACTCAAAGTAAAATAAATTTTACGACTGCATCCAAATCACACCGAGCCAACGCGGTTATGAAGTATAACTACACCTACTGTTCTCAAGAAATCCACCAGAAGTTCTCAGCAACGTGGTCGGCACAAAAAAATGGATGTCAAATAAGGTTTAGAAACAGCAGCACCTCCATCCATCTGTTCAGTCGTCAGACGCTAGATTTCTGATGAGCACACACATGGGCGCTCTCTTATAACAGCCTACAAAACAACCTGACTCTACTACGCACCTCCACTGCGCACTATATTTCTGAAGCCATGCCATCATCACGTGGTTCAAACATACAAATGATTATTTTCAATAACAACCAAATATTCTAAATAAATAACAATCTGCATCGTACTTACCAATAACCCAGAGCCGAGCTCCGCACTACAAAGCATCAATGGACTAAAAGCTCTATATGGAATTCAAAAACATACGGTGTTCTATTCGCTTGTATCAATGCGCCAGTCCAAGCCTGTGATTGGCTGAAGAGGTTTTTGTGTTGCCAGGCGACCACAGGCACATGTCGAATTTGACGTCCGGTTTGGCAGAGTAGCTGAGGCTTGAGTAGCTAGTAGGCTAGTACACATTTGACAATAACTTGAGGTTTAGGGTTTGATCAAATAATTATTTTTTGTTTGTTTCTTTGTTTCTTTTCTACAGTGCCTCAGATAAGCTGGGGTGTCAGGAATATTTAAATCTAATCTACTTTTTGTCAGAGTGAAAATTCTAAAATAATTTGCTAATGTCTCATGAGACATGTTTTTGATAAACCTAGCTGACATTTTTTCTCTATAGCCTAGAATATTCAAGAATGTTGTCAGGTAACTTACACTATAACTGGAAATATTCACATATTATGTATCACCTATTGATTATAAATAGCTAGTTAGCCTAGGGCTAACCTAACCTATCCCTCACATACAACTGCTTATATTACTATAGAGTCAGTACCAGCAGCAAGCAAAACAGTTGATGTGCCTTTATCATTTTTGAGGACCACTTCAAATGTGGACATTTTTAAAGATTTGGCCCTCACAAACATAACCCACCCACCACACACTCTTTTGTCGGTGGTGTTTTTCATAACTGTGAGAAAAACAGACACTAATTAATAGTTTTTTTTTGTGTGACACTCCAACAGAGACAGTCACTGAGTGGTCCATACAAAATGAGCCACGTTGTGTGTCAGTGAAATTGTGGATGGCGTGTTAAAGGGAGTAAAACAGAATAAGTGGAAACCCTATACTAGTGCAACATCATCACATACTGCATATCGCTGATGCTTCTCAGTAAATCATTAGACCTAGGGCAGCCTCCAGTGGAAATACGAGGGAGGAATATTCCTGTCTGTTTGCTTCCTTCTAAATACTTTTTCTTTTTTAACTCTTTCCCCGCCAGCGTTTTTAAAAAAAGTTGCCAGCCACCGCCAGGGTTTTTGACGATTTTCGCTAAATTTGAATGCCCCCGCTGAATATTTTCTTCCATGAATATATGAAGATGATATATATAAAAATAAAGATCTGAGCCTCTGCTTTTAGGCAAAAAAAACGTTTTTATTTTATCTTCATCTGTTCTTTTTTTATTGCCTCTTGAACAGAGGTAGGTTTTGTCAAAAACACAACATTTTGGACAAAAAACTGAGAAAAAGGTGTTTTTATCAAACAAGTGCATTTAAAAGCAGAATACATTCAGATGTTGTTTCCTTCATATATAAAACTTTCCAAAATAAATTAAAAACATAAAATAAATGTAAAATATATCAAATTTCCCAGGATGTAAGGGAAATGTAACTTTTGCAATAAAACTTCTGCCTCTGCCTCTCTGTGTTCTACCTGTGAATAATGAATAATTGGAATTACAATAAACAGGCCTACACACACACACACACACACACACAATGTGGTAAATGTGCACAAAGAGAGAAATAATTTGACAATTACACCTTCATATTTAGACAGCCACACATAAATGCCTGCACACACACATACATATTATAGTGTCATAATATTATACGATCTATCTGCGGCACGTCCATGGCTAGCATGAACATGTGCATCTCTCTCACTGACTACTTCGTCCCGATCAGATTCAGAATTATCAAATAAAGAGTGATCGGACTCCGAGTCCATTAACCTCCAGTACTTCAGCCATATACCTCTGCATTGTCTGTCTGATACATTCTCACTACTCCACTGTTTGAGACGATTGCAATCTGTTTCTCTAAACAAAGAGTTGCGCACTCATTCAGGACATGCGCGTGGGTCTTCCTTACCGTATACCACCTAAAACACGGATACCCGGAAAATTCCGTGTTTGGCGCAGATGCGTTTTTTCATTAAACACGGAAAATTCCGTGTTTGGCGGGGAAAGAGTTAATTATGATGAGAGTATAAATGATATGAGAAAGCAAAACAGGAAACGACTGAATCGCATGTGAGGAAACTCCAGTTTTGTGAATGACTTGAGAAAGAGAGAATGAGAGAGAAATGGAGAGAGAATTAGAAACTGGATGCGAGGGACTGTCCTATCAGTTTTGTGTTAATCTAACATTACGTCAATAGAGAGGACTTGCTCATAATTATACAAGATAAGGAAAAAAAAAAACACACAAAATGCTATTTCCCTGCGCCACTTACATTTATTATGGGAGTGTCATTCCCAAGTTGATTCATACACAGCAATGAAAAACAAAGATTGTTATTGGGAAACATCGCACCATGTCTTACCCAGACGATTACATGTTGACAGCAATGAAAACAATGCAAAGTTTTATTTTAGCTTATAGCCTTTACTTCATACACTCACTCTTACATATAAAGGTTCTTAATTGGCATCTGTGGCACAAAATGTTCTTTACAGTGAGAAAATGTTCTTTATGGTCTTCACATGAAGAACAATAAAATTGTTATTTTAAGAACTGTTCCCTGGGGAAACAAAAATGGTTCTTCTGGTATTGCTGTGAAACCCCCCTTTTTAAACCATATTTTTTTAAGCATGTAAAGGTGTTCAAATTCACTATGCTTCCGAAAAGGTTGATGCATTTGCATTCGAATAAGGATGAGGCATGAACAAGAGAACTAAAGTATGCCGACCACATCTGCCCAAACAGGTTAGTGAACCTATTCTTAGTAAGATTTTTCTTAACTATTTTTCGACAACTGAAAAAAAGTACATGAGTCATAACCTCAAGTTATTCTATGAATTCACAGGAAGCTACATGACAAAAGTTTGTCACCATTTACACATGGAGCTCAGAAATAAACAATGACTCTAACTCATAAGACCAATAAAAAAAGGTTAATGCATTAAATCCATATATCCTTCTGAATTTCTAAGATCTGAACCATGATCTGTCATTCCTTCGTTGGATTTTCTAAAAGCACGAGAACACACAGCCATCAAACAAAGATTTCTTTCAGCATCATCGAACAAACAGCACCAAATGTCACATTCAAAGCCTTTGAGAAACATCTAACAATACATGGAGTCTTATGAGGCTAAGCAAGCACTTCATTCCCAGGTGGATCTATAGAATAAATAAACATCAGAGAGGGCTGAATTGAGCAGAAATTAAGCAGTTTTTTGTTCAAAGGTGAATGTCATTTTAGTTTGTAAGGAGGGGCAATGCCACCTGCTGAAGCTGGGACCAGAGCCAAGTGGAAATGACTCACTGTCCATGCTACGGATGGTTAACCAGCTACCATTAACACATTAAACACACTGAAGGAGGCGCGCACACGCACATACTGGCCATTAACACATTAAACTCTCCACTACGTATGCGGACGTCCACGCAATTGTTTTTCCCCCATCTATCAGGTCGCTGACTCATACATGACATTCATAATCCTCTCCTTCCTGTGACATCAGCAACCCTCTGGGATCTATTGATTAAAATTCAGAGCTTGTGAAATACAAAAACACGAGGGGTCCTCGGGAGAGGCGTTCGGTTAATACTTGAGAACTGGCTCTCAAATTCATCTGTCAGCAGATAGAAGCTAGTTAAAGGGAAATGGAAAATTCTGTCATCATGTACTCACCCAGGGTGACATTCTTTCTTCAGTGGAATACGAAAGAAGATATTTTGAAGAATGGTGATAACCAAACAGTTTTGATGACCGACACAGAGACATTTCTCATATGGGCCATTCCACCGAATGGGTGACATTTGCTTGATGTAACTCTTCAAAATTAAACTTTATTTTTGACAACATTGAATCTAATACTACACATATTTAACTATTCAAAATGTGTGATCAATGTCAGGCAACTTTTCTCACAGGGTTTAAAGAAACTTCAGATTTTACATCACGCAGTCCACGTGATGTAAAAGAAAACAGGACCCATCGGACCAGGTGACCTTCTTCCTCTGCTCCGAGGTCCAGTTCCAACACTCGCGTGCTCATTGTCGGCACATTCGCCGGTGGAGTCATCAAAGGCACTCTGATTGGCCCGTGGCTACGCAGCAGAGTGTGGTTCAGTGTTTAGTGTTGACGCATTCTCCCCTTAACCATCATTCAAATTTTACCAGACCAGTTCGTTGCCCTCGTGCATCGATGAGCCTTGGGCGCCCAACACCCTGTCGCCTTTTGCGGTTTCTCAATCCTCCGACCACTCTTGGTAAATTCTCACCACTTCTGACACAAAGCAACCCACAAACCTTTTCATTTCAGAGACATTCTGACCCAGTCATCTTGTCATAACAATTTGGCCCTTGTGAAAAAAATTCTCAGATCGTTATTTCTGCCTATTTCTCCTGCATCTAACATGTTGATTACAAGAACAGATTGTTTGCCTACCATTTAATCTACCATGACCTTAATTGGTATGTGGCCTTATTAGGAGATTATCAACAATATTCACTGTGACATGTTTTGGCACATCAGTGTATACAGTCAGTAACAGTGATGAGGTCAGATCAGGCATGATAAAAAACATCATCTTGCCTATACCATAATTCAGAAACAAACTCGGCACAAAATGACAAATGATATTGGTAATATTATTCCCCTTAAAAAAATAACTATGTTTTTTTAAGCAAGGGGTTTGCAAACTTATTATGCTCTTCTGAAAGTCAAATCTCTCTTTTCTCCAGTGGTACTGTAGCTCTCAGCACATCTCCACCCTCCCCTCTCTCTCTCTCTGGGCGGGTAATCAGTTTCCTATCATTAATAGAAGTTGCCAAGTGACCTACCTGGTTCACAGTGACCTTGGCGCTTTTGTGTTACTGCGCACTTGCAACATGCCAGTTTCTCCAAGCTTATCACTCACTGAGCAGAAGTTAAATTTGTGGCCTAAGATGACCCTAAATTACACTGCACAAATTTTGGTGTAAGATTTACTTTGAAACAATATTTAGTTAATTTAAATTCCACAAATAATTACAAAGAAATTGCTTACTATTTTTTTTTACTTACTACTTTAGTAAGTAAAACTTACTCCAATAATCTATATATACACAACCTTGAAAAATATATTCTGAAGCACAAGATGCCTCAGAATATATATAAACATAAACATCAGTGAGGCTGCAGAAAAAGCCTCAAGGTGGTTACCCCAGGTGACGGTGTCTGAAGATCAAAGACCCGAAACACCCTGTGACCCCAGGTCCTTCACTGAAGATGTGTCCAAGCTGCACCTTTAAGGTGTTTCAAAATCATGATAAATGCAAACTCAATATTGTAGGATATATGTAAAAATAAGAATTTCCACCAGTGGTCTCAGTTTTGGGCACCACTGTATGTGGAAAGAGAAATCAGTCATCGTTCAGCATCTGTTGAGCAGATGATAGCGAGGGGTAACAGGATGTCAGGTTGTTGAAAGATGGCAAATGACACCCAGCTCATGACCTTTGCTTCCTTCTTTTGCCACCCATCCATCCTGTCCTGTCACGCTGCAATCAGACCAATGACAGAGGGCAGAAAAAAAAAATTGGCCTCAAATCTGCTGCTTCTGCTAAACAGAGAAAACAACAACAACACACATGTGTGAAATACTGTTTGCAATGGGGATGACGTGTATACTGAGAGCAGGGGTAATGTCCCAGGACCAGTTCACCACGACCTATAATATCAATGTGTGCTGCCAAGAGCAAAGGAGCATGAAGGATTTAAAACAAATAGAAAGCACTAACATTGTTACTGAAATAATGGAAATGTACAAACTGTAAATACTTTCAATCTATATAAAGGATGTATTAGAAGAATAATAGAAGAACAAAGACAATTTACAGTATTTAACAAATCCATAAGGTTCCCACAGCTTTAGGTATTGCAATATACATGATGTTTACATTATTACATGTAAAAATATAAATATTGTAAGTTGTAATGCAATAAATAATATTTCATAGAAACTGTAGTTTCCATTCAAACATTTACATTACTGTTAAAAAGTTTGGGGTCACTAAAAGGTTTTTGAAAGAAGTCCCTTCTGCTCATCAAGGCTCCATTTATTTGTTCAGAAGTACAATAAAAACTGACATCGTGAAATATTTATAATTGAACATTTTTAAAATGTAATTTATTCCTGTGATTGTAAAGCAGTATTTTCAGAATCATTCCAGTTTTCAGTATCGCATGATCCTACAGAAACTTAATATGCTGATTTTCTGCTCAATAAACACTTATCAATGTTAAAAACAGTTTGCTGCTTAATGTTTTTTGTTTTTTTTTGTAAAACTGTGATGTATTAGTCAGATTTTTTTTATGAATACATTTTTAAAAAAGCATTTATTTGAAATAGAAATCTTTTGTAAATGTGTCATTACTGTCACTTTATCAATTTAATAATAAAGTATTAATTCCTTTAGAAAAAATGACTGACCTCATACTTTTGTTTAGCAGTGTTTATATCTTACAAATGTCTCAAATTTTGGACAAAATCCATCATACGGTTTGATTTTCAATTCAATTTACGGTTTCAATTTTCTTGATACATCTTGATATCATCAAACGTCTTCATTTGAATGCAGGTTATACGTGACGTATGAGTCAGTAAGAAAAGACTTGACAATGGAAGCTTTTGTTTTATTCCATTCACTTTTTGTAACATCTTTATTGAATTTGTGTGGTATTTTAAACATATTTACAGTTATTGTTTTTTTTTTTTTTTTTGTTCAGTAAAAATACAAATACAGAACACAGCATTATCGAAACCCACCCAGCAGCACCAGGGAAAACTGTTGACCTGGGCTTCACTCATTATTAGTCAAAGTCATGTTACTGGGGAAAAAAGAAAATGGGACACCACTTCTGCCATCTAGAGGGGAGGAGAGGATGTGGTTTAGAAACTGAAGAACTGAAACGACAGGATAGAAAGAGACATACCCTTCGATGACACCCAGAGGTGCTCAAGTCTTTTTGAAAGACTGATTCTCAAACAGATTCTTCATGAGAAAATAATAATTTTTTCCTTCTCCGATCAAGTACATGAAATATTCTGCGGATGTGCCATTTCACACGATAGAAGATTACAACAAACAAACAAACATCGAAGAGCATAAGGCTGAGCACGTCTTCTCAACAGAATGAATAAATATTCATTAAAGGTCAAATAAAACAAACCAAAAAAACAAAACAATAATAATAATAATAAAAAAACTTCAATATGATTAGCTGTTTGATCAAACTCGAAGTGAATCATCTAATATCAGGAATCTGTTTCTGTCTGCCACCACCGGTTCTCAGGGCTTACAGCCCAGGACAGAAACATTCACGGAACAAGTCATGTTAAAACTCACATGAAATATTCAGAGATATGCGTTTGACTTTAAAGAACAGAAACAGGAATGACAAGAAAGTCTTTGAACTCAGTTTAGGAGTATACCCAAGCCTAAAACATACTACATCATGGGCTTTGTAATTATGCAACTGTATTCAAAATCTTTGCACTGTTTTTTTTTTTTTTTGTTTCATTTACTCTGGGTTTTTTGTACAGAGCACACACAGTGTATTTTCTGAACCCTAACCCCCATATTTATATATATTTATAAATCTCTATCTCGTTGGCTACGATTAGTGGTAAAACTCTGCAGTTGAAAAAATCTGGTCTGGTCTAACAGAGTGACCATTACCATTGACAGTTGAAAACAAATGGTGATGGCCGTGAGAATAAGCATCTGAAGCACTGCGACGTCTCTCCACAAGTTACAGCTGCTGCTGCTTCAAGTGTTACTGATTCAATATATGGCAAAAACCGATCCATGTTTCAGAAAGCAGTATGAATGAAATTGAGCATTCAGAAAGGATGAAAAGAAAGAGGAATGGAGAGACACAGAAAAGTGCAGGTTTCTGGAATGACGGTGGTGACTGTCTCACAGGCAGCAGCTGTTCGATAGCAGCACATGTCTGTTTTTTACTCGCTAACCTTAACAGAGACATCGGGGAGACTGTTTGAAGTGAAATCCCGGAGAAAAGAACATCCCTGGGTGCCTGTGGCCTAAATTCAACCTCAGCTGGAGAAAGATTTCACAGGTGGTCAAATCCAACATCTGCTGTCTCCAGGAGCCCAACTCAGGAAGTGAAAGGCTCTGGTCTATTTATCCACCATTTTGAAGCGATTTAGTGCTGAGCTGATGACATGAAACACTGCCAAATTGGAGGGGAAAAAAGAAAAAGAAAAAAAAGAACGAACTTGTTAAAATCCTTCCTTGGTGAGAAATGCACATCCATTTCAGAAGGTCTTTATGTCCGCAAATGTGAGTACAGTGTGTGTCAGACCAGCGGCCACAAGAGAGAGACGCACATGATCAATCCGACAGTCTGTCCTTCAGAGAATATATGAGAGACACAGATAAAGAGAGTTCGGTCTCCTCCGGTCACTGAAGTCCCATGATTCACAGTCCAGGAGGAGACAGTGGTTGGTGGGTACAGTTCTCTCCTCTCCTTTGCACTAGCAGCTGCTGTCTTTCACAAGGAGGGAGGCGTATAGAAAAGGGGCGAGTGAGGGGGAGAGCGCCCCCCGGTGCGTCCGCTCTACCGCTGGGTCTCGCTGCCAGGCAGGGTGATGTTGCCCAGGTGCAGGACGGGCAGAGGGTGGGCCTCCGTGTTGAACACCCAGTTCTCAAGAGGCAGCAGCTCATCGCCAGAGAAAAGCAGATATAGATACCTACAAAAACACACACATGCAGGGATCATAGAATTAACCTGATACTGTTCCAAACTAGGTCACAGATCGGATGCATCCCATTCAAAAGACATTTGTCAGAATCTGTAGTGTCTCAATGGCACCAGCAGGTTGCAGTAATGACTGGCTGTCTTTCCACTCCAATTGACTCTGCAAATCCTACTTTGTTTAGCCAACAGGCACAGTGCTATCATAGTAATGTTGACCATTATAGTAGTAAATGATCATTATTACATTGTTAAATGTACAATAGTAAAGTGTACTCGCATTATGTGTATCAGCAAATGGAATGACTTTTACTTGAGAGTTTCAGCCAGAAAGAAACTTTGCTGGACGTCATCGTAGGTGGGGTTGGAGGAGTAGACGTCTTTAACACCAGAGAAACCTCCGCTGACTCGACAGTATTTATCTATAGCCTGCACAAAAGAAGAAGGTGGTTATATGCAGAATAAACACACACACAGTATAAAATGTTTGGGGTAGGTACATTTTTTATTCATCATTTCTCTTTTCAAAAACGTATCAAGGTTTCCAGAAAAAATACCATGGAAGTCAATGGGGACCAGAAACTATTTGGTTACCCATACAATTCAAAATATCTTCTTTTGTGTTCAGCAAAAGAAAGAAATTCATACAGGTTTGGAACAACTGGGTGAGTAAATGACAGAATTTTCATTTTTGGTTGAACCATTGCTTATTTTTGACAAAATAGATGCAGCATTGGTGGACAAAAGAGACTTTCCCTACCAGCCTCATACATTTGAACGGTTTTGTATATTATTTTTACATGTGTCCCCATCACAATTTATTTATTTTTTCTTCACATTTGTGACAAACAGTGAAGCTTAATGTTCATTTTGTTGGCTTAATGTGAGAAATATTTACACATATGATGTTCTTGAGACAAAAAGAAAACGTCAGCATCTTAGATTAACATTTCACGGTAAATGTTGTTAGCGCTTGAGTCATCATGACTGTATGTCTTTGATTTCTTAAAACTGTGAGCATCAGACTATTGTTCTCAAATTTCTTGCAGTTTCTAATTAAGTCACCAGGCAATTGGTGAGTAACTCAGACTAGGTCAGTTCCAGGTGCAGTTTTTCCTGTGCATTAGCTAAGAAAGATTGTCTAAACAGTATGTGCATTATCAAGTGAAACCATGTCCTAATCCCCACTTTGTGACTGCTAATCAAATCAATGCATGACTGTGTACTGCAGTAATGACAATCCAGAAATAGAACATATAAGAAGCTGCTGTTTTTCTCCAAGAACCAATAATGCTCCATTAGCGTTGCTTCAGCCTCTGCCAGCAGGACTGATGTGCCAGGAAAACACGGCATGATGTGCTCACATACCTGGAGCAGATTTTCTGAAACAGCTGCTACACGGAGGACTCAACTCACAGCGTTACAACACAACAGCAGCTGGCCTGATCCAGACTCACATTAACCCATTCAACAGAGATTCTGCTCAGCTCCCTTTCCTCCATTTTACAATTTGATTTACCTTGGAATCTTACAACATCTTTTTAGAAAAAAAAAAAAATTAATAACACTTTTGAATATATCATTAGCAAAAATAACTTTTCAAACATTACCTTGCAATTCTGTGATATTTTAAATGCTGCAATTGGTTATAGGCCATAAAAGGAAAACAACTGTCCATTAATTGCTATAATCATTCCTAGACAGAATGACATTGTTTCCACCATAAAACATCATCTCTGCAAACAATACAGCAGTTCAAATAACCAAATTGTCAAGCCGACGACATTAAACCAAAGCCATTTGTTTAACTTCTAACTGGCCATTTTGCAAAGATATGGTGAGAACTGGGGAAAATCTGAACCTAGAGACGCACACCAAATAGATCAAAACATCACCATTTATCTAGCCAAAGAAAAGTGCCAGGATTGCAAGAAAAGACATTGAAACCCTGGACAGAAAGAGGTGCACAGAGATAGCTGGAGAGAGAAATGATAAAATTAGAAGAGAAAAGGAGGCAATAGCAACAAAGGAACTTTGGTGATGGGGAACAAGTGAGCTTTATTCTGCTCTCTTTGACAGAAATGGGGATGGTGACAATGAGGGAGAGGAGGAGAGAAAGTCCAAGCACCCAGCGGCTCATCAAAATAAGCCCAAATGCAGAGAAAGAGTACTGTAACGGCAGAACAATGACACCCAATCAGAGACAACAATGATGCTCCATTCTCAAGAGCACTTTGAAACTGTTCTAAAAACACAAACACACTTCCCTAAACACAGCCTAGGCCTCACTGGCATAGTAGTGACATCAAAAGAAAGGGAGTGATACAGTACATCTAAAAAAAATACAGATGGAGAGGTAAAGGACTAACACGAGCAGCGAAAAGATGCCAAAAGATAGTGCGACTGGGACTACAGATGGATATCAAAGCGATGAGATATGGTTTTAGATATTGAGGAACATTCTGTGCAAGACACTAAGTCTGACCTTATTCTGTCTCTCAGATCCGGCTGAACTCTGATGGCTGGAGATACCAGACCGATGAGAAGGGAGTCAAACTTTTTTTGAACAGTTTCTTTATGCTGCATAATTATGCATAGACAGTTCTTTTAAAAAAGTTGTCCTTTTACTGGGTTACACTTCTTAGAATAAAATTCTAACTGACAAAAGACAAATATTATTTTCATTTTTTGGATGATAAACAACACTGTACAATGGTTTTTGCCAACGTTAAATCACTGTCATAATGCTTTTTCAATACAGGCATACCAACATCCCATTATAAATGCAGTGTACTGTATGAAATATGGATAACTATTTTATTTTGAGATTCAACAAAGTCTGTAAAATAGAAATGTATAATTTATTATAGTATAGCACAAAAAATGCTTAAAGGGTTTCCTATAATCTAGTAACTTACTATTCCTTTACAGGGCTCGCAAAATTGCTAGCCTGACGTCCCTGGGCTATTGTGTTTTCCAGTCGGGCAACCAAAATACATAAATGGCCTGAATCTGAAATAGTGTTATCAAATGTGTTAATATTGGTCAATTACCGATATGGTCCTGATGTATTGTGCATCAGTATTCGGTGTTACTGTCATAGAGATGGAAGCATGAGGAAAGGTAGAGGGAGGTGCTGACCTGCGCTGCTTCCCAGCCCCACTGCCTGTATTTGGGGTCGTGGGTAAATCTCCACATGTACCAGTATGTCTCGATGACCTCAGGCCTCAGGATGTAGTACTTCTCGTTCTGTCTCACAGCCACGGCCTCCAGCCCGCTGTCGAACTTAAAGGCCTCTGGACCGAGCTTCAGTACTGCAAACAATAAAAGGTTTATGAGTTCAGCACTATTAGTTGAATCTTTAGCCCTCGTGCTATAAATGTAAAAACTATCTGTCTCTCTCAGTCAAGTTGAGTGAAATAGAAATGGTGCACTCTCAAAATAACCTGTAGTGTTACCATGGCAACACACCATGCTACAAATTAGATTAAGTCCAAAGATCTAATGTGTGTTTTTTTTTTTTTTTAATACTCTTCAAACTGCCCCCTTTTATTCACTAACCAGTGCGATCGTAGCTTTCATGGCAGGTGTGAGCAATCTCTGCTCCGAGCTGCAGATAGTGCCCAGCTTTATCATCCGGCGACCCATCAGCCCCGAGGGCAAACATGCCCCCAGCAAAGCAAGTCAGGTGACCCATCTTACGCTCCAAGTGGCCATTTTTCCACTCCCCGATGAAAGTAAGACCGCCGTTGGACTTACGGATGAGGTGGCGCTCGATAGCCTGCAGAAAGAGAGAGAATGAACAGAGCGCACACACACAACACAAGACCACACGTTGTCAAGGCAACCAGCAGCGCTCACCTCGATGGCATCGTCATAGGTTTTGCGTGCCTCTGTGTCGGTTTTGTCAGACATTAGCCAGGCCTTCAACAGGTATTCATAGAAACTATCACCTAATCCACCTACAGATGTGTGATCTGCAGAGAAAGAGAGAGAAACCAGGATAAACCGAGGAAAGATGAGACTTTAGCTTTTCACGGTATTCACTTTCACAACATTGTGGGGTGCATCGCTACATAAAATTGAGGTTAAATCACATGGATTATATTTATGATGCCTTAACTACCTTTCTGGGGATTAAAAGTGGTAGTTGCATAGAATGTCAATGGAAGGGCAGAAAGCTTTCAGATTTGTGTTCCGAAGATGAACGAAATCTTACGGGTTTTGAATGACAAGTGGGTGAGTAATTACTGACAGAGTTTTCATTTTAGAGTGAAATAACCCTTTAAGCTTAGAGTAAATGGAGTTGACAAAACAAAACTAGCTTAATTAGATACAACTAAACTCTTAATTTTGTGAAAAAAAGAAAGAAAAGTCAATTGTGGTTATTCAAATTGATCAGTTTTGGTTAATCTCTGTTCAAAGCTCAGTCTTTTAATGTACCTGAATTGCTGCTATAAAAGTGTATTCAGGCTTGACACAGGTATCATTACAATAAAAATGCGCTGAAGTGAGCATGTTTTCGCTGGCGTTTATTGGACACACACCAGCACACACCTAATCACTTATAAACACAGCCATTGAGTGTGTGTTCCACTTTGACACAGCTAATGACTGCAGAGTGAGTGCGTGTTTGACAGGCTGGGAGTCATTTATGCTGGTAATGGCTTGTAATGGGCACCTACAACAGAAA